GGTCAAAATTCAAAAAATTTATGTTAATATTAGAATCATTATTGATGATTTTGTTCTTGATACTTTAGCACTCTTTAATACCGGTGGCTGGTTCAAATTGTATTTTAGAAGGATTAATTCCTACTAAATACTTTGAGAAAACTTCTAAAAAACTCAGTAGTACAAGTGGTTCAAAGCTTAAGATTAATTACAAATTATCTAAAGCTATTATTGAAAACTAAGGTTTTAAAGTTGAAACAAACTTTTTTCTTGTTAAAAATTTGAAGAATGAAGTTATCATGGGAACTACTTTTATTAAAGCTCTTTTTCCGCTTCAAATTTCAAAAGAAGGTATTTCTACTTATCATTTAAGTAAGCAAATAACTTTTAAATTTTCAAGCAAACTGTTTACCAAAAATATTAATTGTATCCAAAATAAGATTAATCAAATCAATTTTCTGAAAGAAGAAGTTTCTTTTGCTAATATTGATAAACATTTGAAAAATCCATCACTTCAGAAGAAGATTCAATCTCTTTTAGATAATATTCAATCTTCTATCTGCTCTGATTTACCAAACGCATTTTGGAATAGAAAGAAACATATTGTTAGTCTTCCTTATGAGCTAGACTTTAAAGAAAGTCAAATCCCTACTAAAGCAAGACTCATTCAGATGAATGATGAGCTTCTTCAATATTGTCAGAAAGAGATTAAAGATCTCCTAGACAAAAGACTCATAAGGAGAAGCAAAAGCCCTTGGTCTTTCTCTGCCTTTTATGTTAATAAATAGGCAGAATTAGAAAGAGGAACTCTCAGGTTAGTCATAAACTATAAACCACTTAACCAAGCTATTCAGTGGATTAGGTATCTTATTCCCAACAAAAAGGATCTTCTTAACAAGCTCAATTCTGCTAAGATTTTTTCTAAATTCGACATGAAATCTGGATTTTGGCAAATCCAAATCTGTGATGAAAACAGATATAAAACTGCTTTCACTATTCCCTTTGGTCAATATGAATGGAATGTAATGCCTTTTGGTCTTAAAAATGCTCCTTCTGAATTTCAGAAGATCATGAACGATATCTTCAATCCTTATTCAAAATTTGTCACTGTCTATATTGATGATGTTATAGTCTTTTCCCATTCCATTGATCAACATTTCAAGCATATAAATGTTTTTATAAATGTTGTCAAACAAAATGGACTTGCTGTTTCCAAATCTAAAATCAATTTCTTTCAAACCAATATCAGATTTCTTGGTCACAATATCCACCAGGGAACTATTATTCCTATTAGCAGATCCATTGAATTTGTTAATAAGTTTCCTGATAGAATCCTTGATAAAACTAAACTTCAGAGGTTTTTAGGATGTCTCAATTATGTAGGTGACTTTATTCATCATCTTAACAATATTATAAAGCCTTTACATGATAGGCTTAAAAAGAATCCTTCTTCCTAGACAGACGTCCACACCAATGTATTTAGAGATATTAAGAATAGAGTCAGAAATATAAACTGTCTCTATCTTCCTATTCCTCAAGCTTTTAAAATTGTTGAAACTTATGCTTCTGATATAGGTTATGGTGGCATTCTCAAACAAAAAATCGACTCCCATGAACATATCATTGCATATACTTCAAAACATTGGAATTCTGAACAACAGAATTATTCAACTGTTAAAAAAAAAGTTTTAACAATTGTTTTATGTGTTTCAAAATTTTAATCTGATTTATTAAACCAAAAGTTTATTATTAGAGTAAACTGCAAGTCTGCTAAAGAAATTTTACAAAAGGATGTTAAAAATCTTGCCTCAAAACAAATCTTTGCAAGATGACAAGCAATTTTAAGTGTTTTTGATTTTGATATAGAATATCTCAAAGGCACTTCAAATTCCTTTCCTGGTTACCTTACCCGTGAATATTTACAGGATAAGTGTGATGCCCAAAAAGGCAACAACCCCCTCTAGGGGTGGTGGAACATCCAGAGGAAGAGTTAAGCTAGCCCTAACTCTTAATAAATCAAAGTCTGCCTTTGCAGACTCTTGTTCTTTAGAGTCATCTACTCCGACTGAGTCATCTACCCGAAAGCCATCCAGATTGTAGAGTCATCTACTCAACAATCTGCAATTCCTGAAAAAGACTCATCTAACAAGGCTGATTCTTCACAATCCCAAACTAAAATTGCTAAACAATCTAAAGCAGACTATGTTTTTCCTATTAACACTCTTTTAGCTATCCAACAAGGAAGCTTAAGCAGTTTACCAAAAAAGTCCTAGGCAGACATTGCTTCAGAAGACGACATGGAAATAGATTTAACAAGTTTAAACACTAGAATCCAGTCTTTCAGCCAGTCTCAAAAGACAATTAGTCTTCCTGATAAAACAGAGAAAATTATTAGCCTCCAAAAAGACAAACAAAAAGCCTCAAACACTAACCATTATATGGCAAAAGAAAAATTTTCTTCTGTCATACAAATGGAACCTGAGTTTTGGGATAAAAACCCTTACAAAGCCATCACCAAAGTTTTTCTTCCTAGTTTTCAATTTAGACCTTATGCCATGAACAAAACCAGACAATTCTATGAATTTATTTTAATAGATTCAAATTCTGTTTCTATTAAACATTATAAAGATCTAAAAGATCCTTCTATTATCACTCACTCCATAATTCAAATCCTTAATGTCCTTACGCCAAAGAAATTTGGAAAAAATTTAAATTCTTATAAAAAATTCTCCAAACCATTTGACCCAGTAGGATATAATTATTGGGATTATATTGATGCTTAGACAAAAACTTTTTGATTTCAGAATAAACTCAATCAACACTCTTGGTTGATATATTTCAAAAGGAATCAAACTTATGATTTTCTAAATTGGTTCCTCCAATGGTAGGACTATTTCGGACCAATTAATGATATACTTCCTTCTCCTGTGAAAGAGGGATATACAATATTCAAAGAAAGAATTTTGCAGGACTCAAGAATTTCTGGAGATCTAAGATATTTTTCTGATTTTACTCTAGCTTGGGTATTATCTGGCAGTATAGATATAGCAAGACAGAAAATGAAGAAACTCTTCCTCTACTTCACAGATATTCCTTTGTGAAATGGTGGAACCAGTTCAATGCAGATCATGCTGGGCCATTTGGTGTTGCTGAATACTTGGGAAAAAATCCAAAATTATTAAAACTTGTCGATCCAACAACATTTCAATTTATGAATCAGAAATCCAAAATCACAGCCTTCTTGTCAGGATGTGATTCAAGAGAAAAAATGAAACAAAATTTGTAAGATGTTCTACTTCTTCTAAATCAAGAGGAAGCTGAATCATCTACAAAACAAGAAAATCAAGATGACATCTATCAAAATGAAGATGACTGTTTCGGAATAGATATTCAAGAACTTTGACTTATATTGTAGTTAATAGTTCTAGTAATCAACCGGAACTGTAGAAAATAAGGAGTCATCGACCGTGTTGTGAGGCACCATTTCATTTAGTCATTCAAGAGAGTTTTAGAGAGAGAAGCTGTGAGTGAAACAATCCCTTGTAAGCTTTTCTTTCAATTTTAATAAAATCTTATTTCTTTACAATTTTTCTATCTTCTCCCTCTTAGCTGGTTTTATTCGAACTACCTCCGTCCAACTTTCTTCTCTTCTCCCTCCACTAGATCTGTGTTGGTTTTACCGCTGTTCTAATTTCTTATGTTTTAAATTTACATATTTATTCCTGCACTTTATTTCCTGCATTACGTTTAGTAGCCTTACTATTGCCTACTTTCCTTTCTATGTTTATTTTCTTCCTTTAGATCCACTTTGGAGAATATATATATATATATATATATATATATATATATATATATATATATATATATATATTTGTTAAGCATCAACATTTATTAAAGATAATATATAAATACAAATGGTACTCTAATCTATTATATTTCTAAAACAAATTAACAATACATATCAAGAGAATATTGCGTATAATTTAATTTATTAATAATATTTTTATATTTTTATATTTTATTAAACTAATAAATATTTAAATATATTTTTCTTTTTATCATCTAATTTTAAACTATTTTATTTTATTATTTTAATCAATTCAAAAATAATTTTAAAATTTAAATTTAGTTTAAAATTAATTTTAAATTTAATTTTTATTGAAACTAATTTAAATTTAGTTTTATATTAAATTAATTTTAAATTCAATTTTTAACTTTAAACTGATTTTTAAAACATTTATAAATTTTATTTTTAAAGTAAAACTAATTTATTATACAAAACGATATGTTAAATTAGTGTTTTTAAAAAATATTTTAGTAATATTTATTAATATATTATATTTTATAGAAGTGTATAAAATATTTATTATTATTTTTAACTTATTTTTAATAAACAGAATTTATAATGAAAGTTTAAATTAAATCCTATAAAAATAAAAATTAATAATATAAATAATAATAAAATTATTATATTATAATATTTTAAAAATTAAAAAATAAATATAAATATAAAAACAATAGTAATAATTAATTTAAAAATATTTATTATATTTTAATATTTTTAATTATTTTAAGTATTTAATTTTAATTATAAGAATTAAGATAAATAAAAAATATTAGTAGTAAAATATAATTTCAATAAAATTTTGTAAACTAATATAACTAATAAAAGATATAAGATAATATTGACGTTTAGGGAGAAAATGTCATTTAGGGGCAAAATTTGAACCTAGTAAAACCAAGATAAAATAAGATATTAAATTATCGGAGTTCAAACACAAGGATCGACCAAATAATAAATCAAGTGCATGTTTGGAAACTCAAAAATCTGGTTAAATGACGTTTTAACGAAAAACTATATCTTCCCCAAATCTAAACACTCGAATATAAACAACGTTTTGAATAACAAGACACGGTATCAGTATTAAAAAGCGACATTTATGACTAAATTTTAATTACTAGTATATTTGTTAATTATATGATTTGACGGCTTAAAAACATTGACGAGAATGTACAAAGAACCCAAACATTATGAGCATGTTTAATTTCTGTTTTAAAAATTGTTTTCTGTTTTTCAGAAATAAAATCTAATACAATAGAAATCAAAATGCTCTTAAGTTGTTCTGTGATAGAGGCGAGGCAGTTGTTCTGTAATAAAGAGGCTTCGAAAATCTTCCAAAATCCAAATAAGAGTTGAATCTCTTCCAAGATGAAGTCCATAGGAATATCCATTTGCACTATCTAAAACTATAATTCAACGTGAACAATATTGTAGGGTTTGTCACCCTACGTAGCAAAAAACATTCAATTCAAAATCTTCATTGCATAAATAACTGAATATTAAATAAAATGTCCGACGGCTCAAACAACTTTTGGGAGGGGAACTATGAATTCCAGTGACAGCCAAAACTGCAAAATCTAGAGATGGAATCATTATATTTAGGGAATGTTTGAACTGGTTGGTGCTCCATAACCACCAGAACCGCGACCAAAGCCAGGCCTTCCACCAGGACCCTGCGGCGAATGAAATCAAAGCATACAACCGATTCAGGAAAAATTAGGAAAAAAAAAATATCGTATCCAAGTCAACCGTAAGCTATTGCACCCAAAAACAGGCGTCTAGAGTATTTTGTTCAATATCAGGACAATACTCTGCTTAACAAAAATGAGTTAAGTTTACAAATTATGTAAAAGAGAGGAATTTGACTCAAATCATCCAAATTGACACTTCAAACAGAAATGAAATTTCACATAGAACATGACTCTTTTAAGAAGAGGCCTAAAATCAAGGAGCCAAACCCCAATCAAGCTATTTTGGACACATGCCAGTGACAGCATATCGGCTTCCTAAACCATCTTAAATAAAAGGCCATAAAAATCGAAATTACATAGAATCCCAATTGGACTCGTAAAACAGACTACATTTGAGAATAAAAATCAAAAGATGTACAGATAAAGCTGGTCTTCCACTCATCATTTGTAATGCTAGAGCATGCAAAGACTAACACAATTGTTCCCACACAAGACAATGCTTTTAGAAACAAGACAAACCAAAAGCAAAGAAAATCAACCATAGATACCTAAGCTACTAAGGAAAAATAACTTCCAAGGAAAAAAACCATTATCACATAGGAAAAGAAATCGAATATAAATCCTAGCACATAAATAGACACGGTAATCTTCAATGATAAAAAGCATTGTGCAAAAAGATTACCCCAAAAGAAGGCCTGTAGTCAGCAGGAGCTCCACCCTTGTCTCCAAAGTCACCACCAGGTCCCCGAGGACCTCCACGGTACCCATCACGATCACCGAATCTCCTCTCTCCCTCAAAGCGAGGTGGGCCCCTACTCAAAACAACCACACACAAGTTGCAATCACACAAAGCAACACAACAATAATTTGAAGCAATATCAAGAATGTAAATTACCTAGGGCGATCACCGGGTGGGCCACCGAATGGTCTACCAGCGGGCTTGGCTTGCTTCTTCAGTGTGGCTGGCACAATTTCTGAGGGAAGATTGAGGTAAGTCCTGAGGAACTCAATTCCATCATTGGTGAGGAACCAGTAATAGTGCATCCACGCAAATGTCTCCCTCACATACTCCCTAGACTTGAAACTCTGCATCAGCTTAATCACCTGCAGATTCGGCACATCAATCTCTGGGTGCTTCGCCAGATTGAAATCCTTCTTTGCATAGCAAACTCCCTCTGAATCAAAAACTAACACGTCACAATTTGAAGACAACGCCAAGCAACATAGCAATAAATTACTAGAGAGAAAAGGTTAACCGCACCTTGGAAGAGGTATTTGCAGATCTCTCGACGGTTCTTCTCTGGAATGATCTACACAATTTTAAACAAACGAATAAAGGATTTGCATAAAACGATTTTACCAATGCAAATGAGTTTCAATTGTGTATTCACTAAAGACATAAGAAGACGATGTTGAGATACCATGGTTGCAGCGGTGGAGGCGGCTACGAAAAAAAGCTCTGCTACCACACTTCCCTTTCGCTGCTTACTGCGATATAAACCCTAACTCCGCTTTCTCCCTATTTTATAAAGCAGGGCTTTGTTTTTGGGCCTATTGACGGCCACATTTTCAACATTCCCCTTAATTAGCCCACGATGTAACCTTATCTGTGTTCACATTTACTTCACTATCGTATTTTAGGCCCATTTAAGGTACCTTTTCTGGCCCATGTGATTTAATTCTTGGTCCAAAATATGTTGCTATTTATTTCAAATGTTTTTCCTGACAAAAAACAAAGTGTTTTTAATATTTTGCATTCGAATTAAAAACAAAGCATACACGAGCTTGCTATGCAAAGAAGGATTTCATATAATATAATTGCTTATAGTGATATGTTTTATAAAATATTAGTAAATATATATCCGTACGTTGTAGGAATTTATTTTATTTTTATTAAATACATTTATTTTAAAATAAAATATATATAATTTATATATTAAATATATATATATATATAGTAAAAAATTATAATATTAAATACGTTAAATTTTAAAAAATATTAATAAATAAAAATGAATTTTTAATATATATATATATATATATATTGTACATATTATTAGTTATTTTAAAATAAAATATAATAAATAAATTTTATAAGAAAATAATTATAATAAATTTTAAAAAATAAATAGAAACATATTAATATCCTTAAAAATTTTCTAAAATTTAAAAAAAAAATTAATTATGATATTAACAAATATTTTATTTACTACTTAAAAAGTATACTTTTTTCTAATTATGAGAAATAAATTAATTTACAACATTATGATACATAATAAATTTATATTAATATAATACATATTTTTAGTTTTAGTTATTTAAATGATAGATAAAAATAAATAAAATTAAAATGCTATATTAAAAGAAATATATTGATTAAATAAAACATAAATAAAAAAATTTATTAGTATCATAATTTTATTAAAAATAGAAATAATAATAATTTAAGTATAAATACATATAAAATATATATGGTAATGTATGCAAATTAAAACATATTAATATTTTATTATTATATAAATAAATTCATTTATAAAAAATCATAATATTAGAAGATTACTGTAAAATTAAAATGTGCTTAATTTAATATTTTCTAGAGTTAATTGTATTAATTTAGAATATTTAATAGACTAATAAATATTTATGATAAAATTATGAAATTAATTTTAAATAGCATAAATTTTTTATTTTTAAAATCTAAAAATACAATGTATATTGTTTCATAATATTATAAAACTATTCGTTATTATAAAATTTAAAATAAATAAGTATAATAATAACTTATTAAATATAACAAAAAATTTTAATGACTTATAAAATTTAAATAAAACTAATAAATATATTTTGTGCGTTGCATGAATTTGTATAAATATATTTATATTTTTTATTAATTAATATAATTTAAAAAATAATTATAATTTAAATTTAAATAATAATTATTTTTAATAGGACAGAAAAATAAAAATTGTAAAATGAAAATTTTAATTATTTTAAAAAAAAATTATATATAAAAAATAAATATAATTGTTACACTTAATTTATATGTAACTTGAAACATTCAAAATTTTAATAATAATAATTAATTAAAAATTAATAAATATATTTGTATGTTATATGTTTATTTATATTCTTTTATTAAATTATTTTATTTTAAAATAAAAAAATTATAATTTAAATATAAAAATATATAATAATAAAATTTTATTATATTAAAAATATGATAAATAAATTTTTATATATAAATTTTTTTATTTATATTTTGTAGAATTTTTATTCTCTGATAAAAATTGTTATTCTATGAGTTGATGTAAATATAAAAAATAATTTTTTAAAAATAAATTAAAGAGAACATGAAACTAAAAATAAAAAATAAAGATTTTTAATTATTTTTAAATATAAATAATGTAAATTTATTATATTATTATTGTTATTAAATATTTTAAAATAAAAATAAAAATATATAAAAAAGTATATACCAATGAGTAGAAATATAACAAAAAATATTTTTCAATAAACAATAAGTTTTAATATTAAACTCAAGGAAGATTCATTTTAATAAAATCTAATTTTTATTTTTCAAGAATTGAAATAAATATTAACATAAATTTATTTGATAAATTATATAAAATTAATAATTTATAATTTTAAAATACATATTTAAATTTAACTTATAATAAGTAAATATATACTAATAATTAATAATTCTAATTTAACTTTTTAATTTTAAATTAGTATCAATTTTAAGAATATGATATCATAAATAATTATATCAATGCAAAAATATATATTTATCTTACTTTATATTTTAGATATAATTTAGTTTATAACTAGAGAATGAATTGTAAGTCTATTACATTATTGAATACTCCAAAAAAAATTTAAAGGTATTCAAAATTTAATTTTAATCTCAAAATAATATTTTTATAATATTTTTAAAATTAATTTATATCTTTATTTGATTATATATATTTTCATAATTATAAGAGAAATATTTAAAAATATAAAAAAATATTACAAAGTTAAAGAGTTCTGATTCACTATTAAAACAAATTATATATATATATATATATATATATATATATAAAGTAAATATAACATTCAAACTTAATTTATATTTAAAATATTACTTTTTATTTATTTATTTATTCATCTATTATAATATAAAAAAATTAATAACAAATTTATATATTACCTTTTCATTATAATGATATTTAATTTATTTTAATGATTATAATTAATTATTTTAATATAAAATTTAAAGTTGTAATCATTAATGCAATATTTAAAAATAAACAATACTATTCTTAAAATTTAATTAATAAATAATTTTAGTTAAAAGATGAATAAAAAATAATAAAAAATGAAAATTATTATATCACTCTTTGATTTTTTATAATTAAAATTTTATATAAATTTTTAAAATTCTCATTGTAATATCAATATTTTTAATAGTATGTACATAATTTGAATTTTAATATTAAAATGACAATGAACAATTAAAAAGTTAGTTAAAAAAAGAAAAATAAAAATATTATTAATAGTTAACATAATAAAAAAAATTAATATAATTTCTATACCCGAATAAATTTATAAAATGAGTAAAATTTGATATGTTAATATTGACATAAATTTTTGTTGATCTAAACTATAATACATACTTGACACAAATTTAATTAAATAAAAAAATATAATACATGATATCATTACTTTAAAATAATGCAATTTTATGTTTACTTAATAAATAAAAAATACTTATATATAATTTACTACAACAAAATTTTATATATATATATATAGAGAGACACACACTCTTGCTTGAATAAATGACTCTTAAAAATTTACATTATTATAATACATAAATATAAAAAATATAATAATTGACAAATTTTCAAAAATTATGTAAAATATATAAGTAGAGATAAATATATGTTTAGTGATATATTACAAGATGAAAAATTAATTTAATAAATGTTATTTTTTTATTTGTATTATAATTTATTTATTTTTTCATCATAAAAGTAATTTAATAATATGCAATATAAAATTATTATCTTGTGAGTGTGTAATTTTTTTATTTTAAATATATTTTAATTTTTAATTCACACTTTTAAATGATAAATATATTAAACTCATTAATAAAATTATTTAATTCAATATCATTCAAATTTGAAAAAGACCTAAAATGATTTATATGATTTTAATTTTAATAAAATAGTAACTTAAGAGGTTTGTTAATTTTTTCTAAAGTTATTTTTGTATGATTTTAATTTTTTTATTTTCAAAATTTATGGTGAGCTTTTTTATTTATTTTTATCAAATCAAATTTAATAATTTTTAATTAAATGTAATTTATTGCTATTTTATTATTTTCATTCTTAACATTGTATAATTATCAATGTAAAATGTAAAATTTTTATATATAATTAATTCTGATAACTTTTTCTTAAATATAATTTAAATAAAATAATTATGAATCAATTATAATTTAAATTTATAAGATATAAATATGAAACATTGTAATTAATTTCAATAATTTTTATTAAATATAATTTATAGTTAATTTATTATTTTTGTTTTTAATATACATTAACATTCATTTTGATAATATGTGTGAATAGAATTATATGTGAGTTTAAGTATTTCAAAGTTTTCAATAAATTTTTATTAAATACAATTCATGATTAATTTGTTGTTCTATTTTTAACATTTATAATCATTTATTATGATTATTAGTATTACCAAAATTATATGTGACTTTGAGTATTCTGAAGTTTAATAAGCATAAATAATAAGTAAGTATAGTCAATTTTACATAAATTGATTTATATATTTTAATTATAAAAAAATATTTTATAAGTACTATAAAAATAATCAAAATTTAATAATATTATATTTTATTAATTACAATTTATTTATTATTAGTGTGTTTAAAATTTCTTTAAAAAGTATATTTATAACATATGAGATTTTATTATATTTTTTATAATTATTTTTGAAATATATTTATAAAAAATTTTATTTATAAATTTAAAAATATGATATATATATATATGATATGTCAACTCTATAATATAATTTTAGATAATATAAATTTTTATTATTGTAGATTAATTTAGTTAAAGAAATATTAATAGATTTAATATAATTTAATCAATTAAAAATAAAATTTAATACATGATATCACTTAAAAATAATATAATTTTATACTTACGTAATAAATTAAAATAAAATATATGAATATAATTTAATAAAAAATATCAAAATTAATAATATATATATACTTAATTAGATATATAAGTCATGACATGATTATAAAATAAAAATAAAATAAGATAATAGAAATAAATTTTAAAAAATTTTCAAAAGTTATGGATAATAAAAAATTAATTTGTATTATAATTTATTTACTTTTTATCATAAATATAATTTAATAATATATAATATAAAATAATAATTTAAGTTAATATATTCAAAATTAAATATAAGATA